CTTGCCCAGGCTGGTGTTGAACTCCTGAGCTCAAACAATCCGCCCGCCTCGGCCTCCCAGAGTGCTAGGATTACAGGCGTGAGCCACCACGACCGGCCCATTTTTAATTTTTGAACTATAGGAATCTACTGCATGTGCAAATAAGCCATAAAAGGAATTCATATACCATGAACATATATATTTTAGATTAATTTAGATGCAAGCAAGTTTTCCCCAATCTCTATTCAAAGGTACCTTCTCAGAAAGAACTTTCCTAAGCACCCTATTAAAATAACACTAGTCCATTCATCTTTACCAGGTACACTTCTCTAAAGGAGTGGTCCCTTCATAACATTATATTAAGTTTGTGATTGTTCATTGATTATTTCTTCTACTTGCAAGTAAGACCCATGAAGATAGGGCCTGTCTTTGGTTCGCATCTATAGAACAATGCATAGAATTCTGCAGTGTGTGCTGAATGACATGATGCTCTTCCTTCACCTTGGACATCTCTCTCCACTGTAGGGTTCAAATACACTCACCATCAAAGCCCAAGTCATCTACTTTCTCCTCCATGGATCTTTCCCTGATGCTTTCAGATGGAAGAACTCTTCTTATTTTGCTCTCCCTTAGCAATTTATTATTTTTAATATCTTATGCTGCTGATCACTTGATATGTTATCTTATAGCCACGTTTATATCTTACTTTCCCTACTGAACTATGTTCTCCTTAAAGGCAGAATCATTCCTAATTTTTTTTATAACTTCACAGTGTTTGACCCTGCATGTACACCTTTAATATAATACAAATAATTTTCAAATAAATAAATAAATTATAAAATAAATGGATGGCTGTATTTAGCAACAGTATTCATGGTTAAATAGCATGATTAAAGCTTATGTTTGTATGCGTCGAATGTTGAAACATATTACTCCATAGTTGCTTCTGTGTTAAGTGACAGGAAAGCAAAGAGAAATAAATGATTCTGTTCTAATTTTTTTAACAAGTCTTTTTTTTTCTGATATGAAAGTAAGAAGCGCACAAAAGTAAGCAAAAGAACATGGCTGTGCATTTTTGGGGGATGGATGTTGGGCCTTATTTCCTCTTGCTCTGTGTTTCCATGCTGAGGGGCATTAGTAAGTGAAACACTAATTGTTACACACTGGGCTGTCTTACTTCTCCACAGGGCAGGAGAGATGACCCCTTTTATCGACTGAATTTAAGGGCAAGTGGACTTGTACAGCTCAGCTCCTTTTTCTTACTTCTTTTTAGGAGATAGCATGCTTTCAGAGAGCAGGCATTTTCAAGGTTTGAAAATGCTGAAAGTATTATAGGGACAAGCTCTGGGTCTGTAACGTTTAGGTCTACAGATTTGGAAGTGAGTTAAAGAAATGCTAGGTGGGAGAGTGGCAAGATGGCTGACTAGAGACGTCACTTGTCAGAACGTCCTGGCCGGAAGGTAGAATATTGGCCTGAGGAGAGCAGAGAGGAGTTGCAGTGCAGGCGTAGATCACAGAGAGAGACAACTGAGGCAACCAGACACCCATAAAGAGAAGCTGTGAAGCTGAGAAAGAGAAAGATAAAGAGGAGACGACAGTGGCGCATATCAAACCCAGAGGCACTCGGAGCCCAATGAAAGGGCAAGGGGGGCTTCCCTTCCCCCACCTACTTGCCTTTGGTGATCAGCAGGACAAAAAGTATATTGAAGGTGTTTCCACCCTTCACGAGGCCAGGCAAAGTGGCTAATTAGGAATAGTGGGGTGAGCAAGTGAGCCCCATGAATTCAGGTGTCCATAAGAGACACCCCACTGGAGAGCATCGCAAGAGACCGGAGTGTCAGCTTTCTTACACCTAGACATTTCCTTCTCTACACCTCCCCTATTCATGGAATCTGAGAAAGTGCTTTGAACTTGGGCTGACTGGGAGATGCCAAAGCAACCTTAAGCGAAAGGAACAAATAAGGAGGTGTTACTTTACCTGACTTCGAGCTATAGTACAAGGCTATAGTAATCAAAACAGCATAGTACTGGCATAAAAACAGAGACATAGACCAATGGATCAGTACAGAGAATCCAGATATAAAATCATCCTCATGTTGTCATTTGACATTTGACAAAGCAGACAACAATATACACTGGGGAAAAGAATCCCTAATTCAACAAATGGTGCTGGGAAAATTGGATAGCCACATGTAGAATACTGAAACAGGAGCCTTACCTCTCACTACTCACAAAAATTAATTCAAGATTGATAACCTTAAACCTAAGGCATGAAACTGTAAGAATTCTAGAAGAAAATGTTGAAAAAACTCTTCTAGATATCAGCCTAGGCAAAGAATTTACGAAGATGACTCCAAAGCCAATCACAGCAACAACAAAAGTGAATAAATTGGACTTGATTGAATTTAAAAGCTTCTGCACAGCCAAGGAAATAATCAATAGAGCAAATAGATAACCTACAGAATGGGAGAAAATATATACATTCTATACATCTGATGAAGGGCTAAGGACCAGAATCTAAAAAGAACTCAAGCAAATCAACAAGAGAAAAATCAAACAATCCCATTAAAAAGTGGGCAAAAGACATGAACAGGAGCTTTTCAAAAGATGATAGACTAATGGCCAATAAACACATAAAAAAATGCTAAATGTCTCTAATCATTGGGAAATGCAAACCAAAACCACAGTGAGATATCATCTAACTCCACTGAGAATGGCTTTTATCAAAAAGTCCCAAAACAACAGATGCTGGCGTGGATACTGAGAGAAAGGAACACACTTATACACTGTCAGTGGGACTGCAAACTAGTACAACCTCTATGGAAAATAGTATGGAGATTCCTCAATCAACTAAAAGTAGACCTGCCATTTGATCCAGCAATCCCACTACTGGTATTTCCCAAAGGAAAAAAGCCATTTTATCAAAAAGACACTTGCACTCGAATGTTTATCACAACACAATTCACAATCTCAAAGATGTGGAATCAACCCAAGTGCCCATCGATTCATGAGTGGATTAATAAAATGTGGTATAAGTACACCATGGAGTACTACTAGCCATAAAAAATGAATTAATATCTCCTGTAACAACCTGGATGGAACTAGAGACCATTCTCCTAAGTGAAGTATTACAAGAATGGAAAAACAAGCACCACATGTACTATTAAATTGGAACTAACCGATAGCACTCGTGTGCACATATGGACATAAAAGTCAATGGAAATCAAGCAGGTGG